CGGTTTTCCGCGTAGCGCGCAGGAGGTGGCGGCCCAACAGACAAGTCCGGTGGGGCGCCGCCGCAGCGTCGGCGGAGGCGGAGGCATCGTCAGCGGCGGCGGTGGAGGCGGCGGCATCGGGGTTGCGGGCCTGGGCCCGGTATTGATCGTGGGCGATGCGCCCGTGTCCACGTCGGACATGGACAGTGTGCTGTACGGCGGCTCCCCCCGGGAGGTCCGAGTTGGGTGGGTGAATGGGTTTTTCATGGATGGGGAGCACCCCCTCGGGTGGGAGGGAGGGGAAAGGGTGAATGGTAATTGCAAAATGGTGGGGTGGGGGGGCTGGGGCCTGGCCGTTAATTGATGATGGATTGGGCTTTGTGGGGTCGGGTGAAGGGTGGGGACAAACGGACAGACAGACAGACAGACAGACCTACAGACCATGTCTGGTAGTAGATCAACGGGGTGGGTTGGGATGGAAATGATGGGGATGGGGGTGATGATGCCCTTGGCCTGTAAACACCAGGAAGGTTTCTTATGCGAAGGAGAGGAGAGGGGAGGGGGCCTGTTCGCACCACATTCCACTATTGCCTTTTACCCTCCCTCCCGTCCAAGCTCTTTTTTTACTCTTTCCCTTCCCCAACTGCCCTGTCTTGTCCCGCCCTCGGGAATCTCTTTTTGGAAGGCTTCGGAAGGGGCTCCTTCCACTGTGGGGTTGACTCAACCCCCTCCCCAACAACCCCCCTCCCCAACAACCCCCCTCCCCAACAACCCCCCTCCCCAACAAACCCCTCCCCAACAAACCCCCTCCCCATCAAACCCCTCCCCCCCTCCCCAACAAACCCCTCCCCCCCTCCCCAACAACCCCCTCCCCCCCTCCCCAACAACCCCCTCCCCCCCTCCCCAACAACCCCCTCCCCCCCTCCCCAACAACCCCCCTTCCCAACAACCCCCCTCCCCAACACACACCCCTCCCCCCCTCCCCCTGCTGTTCCTCAGCCACCTCCGCGATGTCCCTGCCGGCCCGGTGAGTCAGGCCACCCCCGCCACCCGGGCCACCGCCGCCCTCAACACCCTGGCGCGGGAGGTCATACAGCGCCGCAGCTCGATCGCCCCCGCCATATCGGTGGTCAATATGGGGGTGTTCGAGCTGAATGCGGGGGGCAGCCTCGAGTACGTCAACATCACGCAGGTGGGTATGTGTGTATGTATGTATGTGGGTATGTATTCCAGTTCCCAACCCCTGCTACGCATATACGCACATGCACGCACATACGTTTACACATACAACTACACATATACATACGCACATACACATGCAGGTACTGGTTCCAGGGCTGGAGGAGCGGGGCCGGCTGGGCAAGCAGTTGGATTCTGTACGGCAGCTCACTCCCGGGTATTTCAACGCCCCCGCCACCTCCGTAGCCCCCCTGGGCAGCGGACTGAGGACCGCGTTGCGGCAGCGGTGCGGCTTCCCCTTGGTGACGTTGGTGTTTTGTAGCATGGAGAGGTGAGGGGGGAAGAGGGGGAGGGGGGGAAGGGGGGAGGGAGGGAGGGGGGAAGGGGGGGCATTGCATGTCCGTGGGTGTTTCTATATGTTTGAGGGATGGCGTGTGTGGGTGTGTGTATTGGCTGGCAGGGCGGGGTGAGGGTTAGGGAGTTGGAAAGGGAGTTGTGGTGGGACAGAGACGCAACTTTGTTGGCGAGGGGATTGGCGGTTGAAGAGGCTCTATTCGGGGTATTGTGCTAGAGTATGTGTCTGTATGCACGTCTGTATGTAGGTTCCCCACCCTCTCCCCCTTCTCCCCCACCTTCTTGAGCAGATTCACGGAAATGGTGTCCGTGAATCGGGATCTGTCCCTGGACGTCATGGCGGCGTACAACGACTGTGTACGGCGGAGTCTGATGGCCTGTCACGGATACGAGTGCCAGGAGCAGGAGGGAAATTATATGTAGGTGACTGTGCGTACGGCATAAGTGGCTATACCTGTGGCGTCTAAGAGCTTGTGGCTCCAAGGAGGCTCTTGGGCCTCTACCTTACTTGGCTCGTACTGGTGGGCTCGTTACACCTCTCTATCTGGGTAGTTGCAACCGAGGTGCAACACGCACACACGCACACGTGATGTGTTACAGAGTGGATGGCTTCTACAACACTTTAAAAGTTCTGGTTCTTGAGAGGGGAGGGCCGATACACACCCGACCACAGGGTTTGGAAAGGCCCCCGACCCGACCCGACCCCGAGGGGGGGGGGCCCGAGAAGAGCAGCCCTTAGGGCTCGTAAGGGAAGACCGAACACCACCACACGTGCAAGGGGCCCCGACCCCCACCCCTGCTCCTCCGAACCCCCGACTTTCTCCCCCTCCCACGCGCGGATGTGTGCGGATTGTTGCAGGATTGCGTTCGCTCGGCCCTCCGACGCGCTGGAGTGGTGTCTCATGCTGCAGGAAGTCATGATGGAGGTGGGGAGGGGAGGGGAGGGGAGGGGGCGGGGTGAGGGGCCAGTACGCCAAGGCCAGGGGCGGCGTATACCGCCCGGCAGTCCAATGAAGCGACATAAGTGCCCCGGGGCGCATCCAACCGGTTTTGGTCGCGTGCTTCTTACTCCTCGTCCAGGGAGGGGTTCCGCTCCGTCGTCGTCGCAATGTGTTTGCATCGCCCCCTCTTCCCGAGCCCCCCTTTCCCCGGCGGCTGGTGGCAAACGTTATTCCAGCTCACGTCACCCTTTTCTTTTTCGCCGCCTTTGCACCTACCTTTACTATTTTGGGGTTCTACTGCTCTTTTTCCGCTTTTATATAGTCTTGGCGGCTAGGTAGGTAGTTTTCCGCTGTCGTCATCACTACATCATCCCGAGGACTGCTTCTTCACAACCGCCGACTGGTCAGTTCTGCTTTTTGTCCATCAGTTCATCTTTTTGCACATCCACCCTTTCCCCCGTCAATCTCTTCATCACCCGCCCCTCTGTGCTGCCCCCCTCGTTCATGGCGTCTGCATATACCTCCCCACCCCCAACCCAACCCCCCCTCCTGGACGTCGGCAGTTCATTTCCGAGCTTCTTGCATCACATGATCCCCCTCATCCCCTTTTCCCCCCCCCCCACAGGTCGCCTGGACTCCCGCCATGTTGCGGCTCCCCGCCATGCAGGAGGAGCTGCACCCCCTCACCGGCACGGTGCTGTTCCGAGGTCCCCGCATCAAGGCGGGACTCTACCAGGGGGTACCCACTCGCGTGTCGCCGCACTCCACCACCGGCAGGGCCGACTACTTTGGTGAGGGGGTTGGGGGGGTTTGGGGGGGGGGGTGAGGGGGAAATGGGTAACCGGGTGAGTCGTCGAAGGTGGCATCCATACCGTAGTAGATGTCGATAATGGTGTCGAGGTCGGTGGTGGTGGTGGTGGTGGTGTTGGTGATCGTGGTGGTGGTGGTGATGGTGGCCCTCCGCACCCGGGTCTTCCGGTCGCGACGGATGGAAACCCGTGTACGTGTGTATGTGTGTTATGTACCTCCTGCAGCCCGAGCGTCTCCACCCCGTTTTCATCTCTCACGTCCCCCTCTTCGCACCGCCAGCACAGATCCCCCTCCCGCTACCTTCCCGCCGCAAGAGCCAAGCTCAGGCTGTCCGATCCGCCTCCCCCCTTCCCCCCCTCGTCCTCCTGCCGGCTCGTCTACCCTTTCCCCTCCCCCTCCCCCCCCACCACTCTTTCCTTGACATCAGCTTCACTCGACCGTGGTTCGTCTTCCCCACCGCCCCCCCCCCTTCTCGCCCCCCGCGTAGGTCCGCTCGTGAACAGAGCAGCTCGCTACTGCCATGCCGCGGCTCAGGGGGGTCAGGTGAGGGAAGGGGGGGCCCGGCCCGCACCAGCAACAGCTACCGGTGGTCGCCACCGACCCCCCCCCCCCCCAGCCATCATGGCCATTATTAGTGACCCATGGGGCTGTGTGAGTGTGTGTGCGTGCGTGTGCGTGGTCTTTGCACTTTGCATGTACCGTGGCAAGGCACCCAACTGCCTGGCCTCCATCACAATCCTTTCACCTCCCCACCACCACCACCACCACCACCACCACCACCACCACCACCACCACCACCACCACCATCACCACCCGTCACTCAACTGTTTATGCTCAGCAATTGACGACGGCGGCGGCGCCACCAGGTGGGGTGGTTGCATTTGTGGGTTTCCCGACGCCAATACACACCTTCTTTCCCCCTAACCTTCCCCCCTTCCAGCAGCTACTTGTCAATGGGTCGGGGGTTGCGTCTTTGGTCCATGTAGATCAGTAACAGCCCTTCCTCGATTTCGCTTCTGACCCCTTCGTTCTCCCTTTCTCGCGCGTACCGCTGCTGCTACTGCTGCTACTGCTGCTGCTACTGCTGCTGCTACTACCGTTGCTGCTACCACTGCTGCTGCTGCTACCACTGCTGCTGCTGCTGCTACCACTGCTACTGCTGCTGCTACTGCTGCTACTGCCGGCGGTGGTGGTGCTGCTGTACTCAGGTGATTGTGTCCCGCGGCCTGGTGGAGGACATCCTCCGGGAGCTGCTGCACGGGGAGCTAATGCCGGCGGAGGCGCTGCCGACGGATGCGCTGCCCGTACGGCAAGTTGCCGTCATCGACAACAGCGGCGTGGTGCCGCCGAGGTGGTGCATGCCGCAGGATGTCATTGGAAACGGACTGGGGCCCAGCGGCGGCGGCGCCACTACTGCTGCTACTGCTGCGGGAGCCGGCGGGGGCGGTCCGGGCTCCGGCGGCGGCGCCGACCCCGGTGATGCTGTGTCGCCGCGTCGGAGCATTCCCATTTCCAAGTTACTGACGCCGCTGGTGGACATGTCGCCTGACAGAGGTAGAGTCGTTGTCGAGGCTGTGCGATTGCGATTGCGATTGCGTGGAGAGCTGGGTCGCGTCAGGAGGGGTTTGCGAGTGTGTGTGTATGTATATATGTATGTATGTGGGTAAGAAGGAATACGCGATGGGTGATAAGGAATCTCGTTCATAACAGAAAACCGGCAGTGGAAATGATGGGCGTATTGGTGAGTGCGCATGTGGGCGAAGTAGTAGAGGGGATGAAGAGCAGCGGGAAGCGAGAGCAGAGGAACGGGGCCATGGTGACGCACAGGTGGTGCTGGGCGGGTGGCAAGGGGGAGAAAAGACGACCTACGAACGAGTGAAGCTGCTGCCAAGGAAAGAGTGCTGCGGCGTGGGGGGAAAGGGGCAGATGGTGACCTATGGGCCCCGTGACCACCTCTCCCTCGGTCGCTATCCCTCGTGTCCACCTCCCCACCTCCGTCCGTCAGATGGGGACGCGACGCCGTCAATTATGGGCTCCGTCATGGTGCTGCCGGAGTTCCCTGGCAGCGCGTACGGCGGGGTTGGCGGCGGCGGCGGTGCCGTCAGCCGGCTGCGCCGCGTATGCTACTATTCGCCGTCGTCCTCGCTGCCGCCGCCGCCTCGCGGCAGCTATGGCGGCGGCGCCACCAGCGGCACTGGCGAGAGTGACCGCGGCGGCGCTGAGGGCGTCATTGTGAGCTCCACACCCCCTGGGGTGTCCGTGTCCGCTTCCGGCGCCCTGCCGGCCTCGCTCACCTTCGAGTACAACGGTGCGGCGGATGCCTCGGTCTGCTCCTCAGCATCGGAAACCTCGGGTTCCGCGTCGACGGCGGCGGCAGCGGCAGCGGCAGCGGCAGCGGCTGCTGCTGCTGCTGCCGACATTAGCGCCCACGGCAACGGCGACGGCAACGGGGTTTTTCCCACCGTTGAGGTTCCGCTGTCGGAGCTGGCGAGTTACGACATCTGCCCCGCCAGTGTGCCACGTCGGATGCGTCCCGCCGTCGAGCAGGCCCTGGCGGAGGCGCGCCGCCGCGCCGTCAACAAGCGCCGCGAGCACCTGCAAACGCAGAGCCGCCTGGGTGCGCCGTACACGTCCCAGCTATTGCCCAGCCGGCCCACCTCCCGTCGAGTGATTGCGCTTCCGATGCCGCCGTCGGGAATTGCCGCTCCCGCTCCAGCCAGCGGCGGCAGCGCTGCGATGTCGTATGCCGCGCCCGCAGGGCCTATCTCGCAAAGCACCGCTAGTAGCCTGTACGGCGGCCCTGGCGGCGGCGGTGGCAGGCCGCCCGTCGGCGCGCAGTCAGCCCGTGGCACGGGCCCCGGCATGTCGACGATGGTGGCGGCTGGCAGCGTCGTCGCCAACGCCGCCAGCATGCCACTACAGCCGCAGCCGCTACAGCAACAGGGCCTCGGCGCCGCCGCAGCCTGCGGCGGTTATCCTGGTACGCTAGTGCACCAGCTACAGCTACAGCAGCAGCAGCAACAGCTGCTATGTACCCATTCTCACCCGCAGCGCTTGGTAATGCGGGGCTCAGAGCCAGCCTACTTGGAGCTCACACCGCAGCTGCAGCAGGAGCTGAAGCAGGAAATGCAGCTGCAGCTGGCGGCGCTCGGCCCCAGGGGCCCCTGCGCCGCCACCTCAGGTCGTCCTGGGACCGCCGCCACTGCCGCTCCACGTCAGCCTGCTGATGACGACCTGCCGCCACTGCCGCCGCCGCTGCCCGGGCTGCCCGCGCGGCATCTCCTAAGCCAGCGCGCCTCCTTTGACCTACGTTATCTACAGCAACAACAACAACAGCACCAGCAGCAGCAGCAGGTAGCGATGGCACTGCATGCCCGCACCTCGGGGACCGGAATGGGGCCGCAGACACCCGGTAACGGCCGACCGCGCTCAAGCCCCAATAAGCCCCTTCCGCCCGCACCGTTTCGTGCGACTCAGCATGATCAGTTGCCCCAGCACCACCAACAACCGCCTCAACCGTCGCAACCGCCATCTTCCCTGCAGTTCTCGCAACTACCATCCCAACAACACCAACAGCAGCAACAACAACAACAACAGCCGCAACAGCCGCTACCGCTCCGCGCCCACGGCAGGGCGGGCAGCGGCAGTACGACACCGTGGAGTATGGGCTCGTCACGTCGTTCCCTGGGTCACCGGATGTCTCTTCCGCCAAGCCAGGGCCAGGGCCTGGACTGCCAGCAGCAGCAGCAGCAATCCTGGCGGGACGCGGCGGTGTCGGGGATGGTGGCCGCGGCGGGTAACGGCGCACCGCCGCCGCCGCCGGGCCCGCCAGGGCTGTTGCCGTCGGCGGCGCTGCACAGCGCGGAGTCCATGCTCTCCCACGAGCACAGCGCCGCGTTCAATGCGCTGTGGGAGGTGGCGACGGACGAGGCGGGGTTGCAGTGCGGCACCCGTGTGGAGATGGACCTGCAGTCGGCGGTAGTGGGGGGTCTGGCCGGGGTGGAGCCGGAGCCGGGGGCGGGAGGGGGGCTGTCGTCGGCGCCTATGGGTGGCGCCGGATGCGGGTATGGAGCAGGAGCAGGTGCAGGTGCAGGTGCAGGAGCAGGAGGTGGCGGGCCGCGGCTGCCCGCGGCGCTCCGGTAGGTGGTTGGGAGGGCTGTTGGCGGGCGGTTGTCACGGATGTCTGTCTGAGCTGGAGCTCCCCTTCCTTTTCCCCCTCTCTCACACGCAATCACACACTCTCACACATACGCTGTTCGTTCTCTCTCCTTCCTCCTAGGTTTTGTTGGGTTGCTTCCCTCCTCCCACAACCTCGCGCCAGAGAGTTATGCTAACCAACTGGCAAAACGAGTTGATGGTGGTGAACAGAAAACCGCCGCCGCAATTGCAATTTACCTACCTACCTACCTACCTACCTAGTAACCAGGAGTTTGTCACCCACACGGCCAAACCCACCCGCCCCTCCGCGCACACCCTCTCTCCGTGCGTCCCTCGGTCCGCTGGCAGGGGCGGTCCCAGCGCTCGCGCGTGTCACCGCGGCTCCTTCATGCTGCTGGACTCCAGCCCGGGCAGCCTGCCCACCCTGTCGGAGCTGTGCATCCGCCGCCGGGTGGGGCCGTACAAGTGGCTGTGGGCGCACGAGCTGGTGGTGGAGGACCTGGGGCAGTTCAGGTGGGCTCGGGGGTGGGGGGTGGGGGGGCCCGGATCTTGATACACACACATGTATATATGTACATTAGATGATACATGCACTACATGTATGTAAACCCAGTTTTTAGGGATTGTGGCTCCATCGCCACCACCAGCACCACCACCAGCACCACCACCAGCACCACCACCAGAATCACCAGCCATGTGCGCCAGTGCCAGTCACGCCTCCTCTGCCGAAATTGGGGCATGGCGCCCCTCGTCTGTCGCTACTCCCTAGCTGGGGGCACAACTGTGTGCGTTTTGAAGCTGCTACTGCTACTGCTACTGCTGCTGCTGCTGCTGTTGCTGCTGCTGCGGCGGCGGCCCCCGGTGCCCTCCCCCCAGGTTCAAGGGGGTGGCGGGGAACCACGCCATCGTGTGTGTATCCACCGCGGGCACGTCGGAACGCAAACTGGGCTCCCGCGTCAAGAAGTCCAAGGGCGAACGGGTGGAGCCTGGGCGGGGGCTGCTGTACCGTATCGTGCTGCAGGTGTGGCGTTTGGTGTGGTTTGGTCTGCTGGATGCATCTCTGAATCTCTCTGGCGCACATACTCTGCTCTCCGTGCTGTGTCGTCTGTCGTGCTGCGCTGCGATGTGTGTGTGTGTGTGTGTGTATGCGCTGTCCTGGCGGGCCTGTGGCTTGCCGTCGAAATGTTTGTCGAGTCATAGCCAGTAAGTAGCTTTATTAGGAAACTCTCGGACACCGAAGCGGGAGTTTAACGTTTTGCACTGCATCGGTGTACACCGTGCCCTCCTGCCCGTACGCCCTTTCCCGCGACCTGCCTGCCTGTCACCCACCTCGTCCCCCTCTAATGTCCCCTTTCGCCGACCCCCCCCCCCCCCCACACACACACATCTTCCGATGGGCACTTAGCCCGCGGGCCTGCCGCCGACCCCGGAGCCTCCATGCCTCCTGCAGCCCGCCACGGCCTCAGAGTACGGAGGTGCCAGTGCGCCGCGATACACTCCGCCGCCCGTCGCCTCCGCACCCGCGGCCACGTAGCTGCCGTACAACCCTTCCCCATGTCCCCCGGAGGGCCCCACGCAGCCGTCACTGCTGTCACCGCAAGACGCGGCCGTCAGCTTACACAGCCACGGGGCCCAGTGGCTGGCCCCGCCGCCGCCCCCGCCACCGCCGCCACCGACCGCCGCTGCTGCCGCGGCGCCGGCGCTGCCGCCACTACTTCTTCGGGGTTCGTCGACTCAGGCTGCAACGGGCCGTTAGGGCGTCGCTGGCGTCGTTATCAGTGGCCCAGTCCGCGGGGTAGGTGCTGGTGTTGGTGGAGGGGTAGGTGGAGGCGGCATCGGCGGTCCTGCCCCTCATCGAAGTACAGAGCGGCTATGAGCTGATCCTGGCAGCGGCAGCTGCTGATGGCCGACGATGCAATGCCGAGGGGTGAGGGGTGAGGGGATGCATTCAGTGGGGGGGAGATAGCGAGAGGAGGAGGATCCGGTTGTGTTCCCTCTCTCAGGCTGGCCATGGGCCTGGGCCTGGCCCTGAGTGGTAGGGGCCCCCGGGACAAGGGGGCCTCCCAGCAGGCGTCACACAGGTGTCTCACGCGTGTGATCACCTCGGTTGGGAAGGAGGAAAAGGGTGAGGGAGAGGGAGAGGGAGGGAAGTCAATCTGAGCCTCACTCCCCGTAGTCACCGTAAGGGTCAGACTGTACGTTACGCACGTAGCAGCGTAGGCGGCTACGTTGCGAGCTTCTCGTATGCATCCGTGGTGGTGGTGGTGGTGGTGGTGCCCCCCTCGCGGGGGGCAATCCCCGCCGGGGTGGGGCAGATGTGGGCCGTGCACCGCCAGCGGTTGTGCGAACTAGGGTTTCAAGGTTGTGGAGCGAACGGGGGAGGAGACGAGGGCGGCAGTGCGACGAGGTCGTCTGCGTGTGCGTTCCGGCTTTCTTTTGCATAAAAGAACGTGTGTGTGTGTGCGTGTGCGTGTGGGTTGGAGAGGTATGCCTCGCTCCACAGTGCATTGCTGGGGAGGAGCTGCTGCAGCTCCCCCGACACGCACACGTGCACCCATACCATACCATACCATACGGGGTGCAGCGGCGTCCCGTATGCACCGCCTCATTCATCCAACGGCCATCGGCACCTCTCCGCCGCTGCAAGGCGGTCTGGCTGGTGGCCCCTGCGCTGTGCCCAACTGCGTGCGTGATGAAGATGATGGTGGGGGGGATGGGGGGGGGGATGGGGGGGGATGGGGGGGATGATGGTGGGTGGGATGGGGGGGGGGATGAGGCTTCATGGGGTCAAATCCATGAGTGGGAATTCAAGGAAGCCCTCCCAGGCCAGGAAAGGCTGATGGACACCCCGCACGGCACGGGGCAAAAACGCTCCTCGCTCGCTCGTTTTGACGGCCTCTCTAAAGCAGTCCGTGCTGAGGCCGGCTGGCCCGTGGCTGGCCCGTGACAACGGCGAAGGCGAAGGCAACGACATGAGGATTACCTAATCCCTAAAAGCTTCGTGGATGCCACGTCATGCCATATCATATTTCACCCATCATCTCTCTGATGGGCGGGGGGGAGGTCCTGGACGGTCGCTGGACGGCTCCTGGGGATGTGCGTCTTGACGCATATCATATGCAGAGCCGGCTGGCGTCCGCGATATGACGTCATGTGCCGGGTCGGACCTTGAAAACAAAGGAGTGGAAGGCATGTCAATTTGCATGGCGCGAGATGCAGCCGGCACGCGCGTGTGCTCCGCTTGTGTCGCTTGCGTGTTGGTCGTTTTGCTGTCGGGTGGTCGATTTGAGTGTGTGTGTGTATGTATGTATATACGCTGGGGGGAATGGGGGGTAATGGCGCGCCCTAAGTATGGCACGATGTGCACATGCACATGGAAATTCGTGCGTGGATGAAGCTTATTGCTACAGGTTTCGTTAATGTGGCGGCGCACTGCTGCTTGCTTGTTGCCAAAGGAAAAGCAACACTGACGACGCTCTTGCATTGTAAGACATTTTTTTGACTATGGTGGTGGTGGTGGTGCTGCTGCTTTTCCGCGCTATTGTGAATCCAGTTCTGATGTATGCGACGCCCGCCCGGAACCCTGAGAAGCGTGCTGGGACTGTTATGGTCATTCTGCGGTCGTCGTTTGTGCACGTCGTGTGTTAGACCACCAGTTTGAATTGTGAACTGTGATGAAGCCTGGTACGTCGCATGCTGCGCCCTGAGGGGGGCTGCCAGCGCTCGCCCGCACATTGCTCACCCACCACCACACAGGTCGCCTGGGCCTCCGCGGCATGGGACTCCTCTGCTGGCCCAGCGGGCGATAACACTGTTGCGCAGCGCTGCAGAAATCACGAATAAGTGGATATGAGACATGTTTAGGATCTGTTTGTACCTAGTGGCGCATGTTGGCCACACATTGCGTCCTCATGCTAACTGTCACCTAGCCTTTCGTAGCTATTTTTAGTCCCCTTCAACTGCACGAGATGACGCGGGCCATGGCGCGCACGCCTTTCCATCGAAGCCCGTCGGTGTCTGATTTATCGCCCCCGTGTGTGTGTATTTGTGTGTATTTGTGTGCATATTTCCATTTGGTGGTTCTGGAGAGGGCCGGGAGGTCTGTGAGCGCGGGAGTGTAATCTCAGGGTCGAGGTCCTCGACTTCATCAATGTGCAGGGTTTGAGAAGCAGGCGTGTGTCGTTTGGCTTTATGACTTTTTGACTTGATTATATAAGATGGGTCTGATGGGCATGTTCATCAGAGCTGAGAGAGCTTCCAGGACGTGTCTCTTGGTTATCGTGATGGCGCGCGCCCCCCGCGGCGAACGTGGTCGTGTGCGGTTTGCATGGCACATTCCGGCACAGAAGAGGAGGGTGCATACATTGATGCACAACCCGACATTTCACCTACTCGAAAACCGCGATTGACAGTTTTGCAAAAGACTGGGGAAACATGTAAGCATCGTCCTCCTGGCACAACATACACCCCTGGTGAAGCTATGCCACCCTGTAACAACAACACCCCTGCAGTACAAGTGCATGCATGGTCCACCAGGCATGGCACAGCATTTTTCCGATCAACCTGGGCACCGCACCGTTCTTCATGTTATGGCCATTGCAGTCTTAATTTAGCTACGCAAATCTTGAATGCAACTCTTCTTGACCCAGCTTACATCAGCCGACAGCTGGGTGCTAACCATCTTTGGCATCCGCTATATTGGCCATCTTTGCAGCCACAGCTTCCAGAGCGGAAATCACCGACGGACGGGGTGTCAGTTTTGTCAGTGAGGTACTTACTGTCCACATGGCACTGGCATGGAAGCCAGCCTGGCACTTGCTGAGTTGTCCTTTCAGCAGAGGCGGCCTACTTGGGTGCGGCCTCATATGAACAATTCCCTGACAGAAGACGACTTGTGTCGGGGTATTGACTGCCCTACATGCTGCTGCTGCTGCTGCTGATGATGATGATAACGATGATGAGTTCCTCACTACAAACTGGCTGTCTTGCAGCAGCTGCTGCTTGGGAGAGTTATGATGTAGGCCTGGCGGCCAAAAACCCTTGACCTGGACACACCCGGCTCCATGCCTGTGGGATATCCCGTGGTGTCACCTTGGTGCCCAGGATGACGAGAAGTGTATTCCCCTATGATGAAGATATTTCTCACAGTAACGCAGTTGCTTCCACATGGAACCAGAAGGGTTCATCGAGGATGAGGTCTGCAGATGACACCAGCTGGTGTTTCCACCGCGTGATGGGCTACTGCCATCTCCCTGGTCATCAACGAAGGATGAGGAAGTGATTTTCTCCACCTGACTCGTGGCCTGCTGTCCTACTTTCAAATCAACTCAAGCCGGTTTCGTGCCACAACAACAAGATTACGACTGTTGATGACTTGATGATACACTTCCCGAAGATCAAGGAGAATGGGTGGAAGCTGCAGCACAACCAGGTTTAACAGCCGAACAGGTTGGCAGACGGAAATGTACGGCACTGGGCACACTTGCATCACTTCACAGTCGCGTGCACTTGGGCAGCCCCAGCTGGAGCACGTGTGGGTAAAACTGGATATGCGCCTCCTGTCAGGAATCGGCAACATTTTTTGCCCCCTTGAGCCCCACAAAGGATTCCTCCTGCTAATCGCAGCGCAAGCATCCCGTATTACAACGCACCTCAGAAGCTCCTAGAAGGTTGGCGTCATCAGAGTCTGCAGATGATGCCCCCTAAAGGTGCTGGCGCAGGCGCTCCACAACGCAGCCTGCAAAACACTGCTTTGTAGATCAATCAAGATCTGCCAAGGTGTTCACGCATAGGGCAAGACGAATAATATGCCTTCTGTCGAGAACTGAGAGTCAAGACGACTTTGCATATTGTTGTATGACGGCATTACAGAAAATGCACCGACCGGCGGATGTCAGAATCCCATGATACACGCCCTCCAGGATACAACACATATGTACCCAAGTAGGAAAGATGGGTAGGGTGGCCTGTAGACAAAGCCGCTATGACACCTTTACATCTCGGAACACAGAAAAAATACTTGGCAGACGTGGATAGCCAGTCATAGTGAACAGCCTTGCGCCTCTCAGTTTCAGTGGAGTATGGCGGGCTTAATGAATCCTTCCCATGACTGAGCCGCTTTTGTCCGTGCGTAAGTCATGGGCCCCGTTATCTGACAGATTGCCTTGCAGCGTACTGCATAGTACCTGCCTGTGACAGCTTTCTTTCTTTCTAGACATGACGCTCAAGCCGTGCCGGGGCTTAATCTTCGACGAATCAACAAAAAAAAACGGCTTACCAACAAATTGGGACGACGCCAATAACAGGCCGCGCCTTTATGCCATAAACTCTGCGCACGGGTATCCAAGCAGCGCAATCACACAGCGACACTCCGCGCTTTGCGCTGTCGTTCACCGCTCCTTGCTTAATCTTCCTGCCAGCAGCCGATCTTCTGTTCGCTGTCATTCATTCATTCTTTTCCTCACGAAACTCCTCGTGCCATTCATAACCACGATTCATAACCACGCAGCATCATGCACAAATGCAAACTAGAAACCGAAATTGTACAGCGACGATCAAAAAGTTCGTCAGCGCGCACATCACTCAGCATTTCGATCTCACAGACAGGAACCGTCAACTCTGATTGGGTGTTCGCCTCCCCCTCGGCCGGAGCAAGGAACACCCAATACCTTCAGGCAGCCGGAGAACTCGCAGGAGCCAATAAAATAAAATACAATCCTAGGGTACACCAAAAAGTCGACCAGACGTTGAATTTAAACAAAACTTCATCCACCATGGCATCAAAACAAAAAATGCACCGACACAACAACGTGTAACTAATGGACTACTACACCTCAAAACCAAGGTCTTCGACTTCCAAAGTGCACGCAGGGAAGCGCCAGTTACGACACAGTACGGCATCTCTGCCAGATCCATCTGCTAAGCCTCCCTGCTTGGGTGCTGCTGAGTCATTCGTGCCCTCCTTCTGCTCCTCCTCAACAACAGGCACAACAAAGACGGCGTCGTCCACTTAACAATGAAATAAACTGAAACACTTGCAAAAAATCATCACAGAGCTCTCGAGGACTTCAATCTAAAGCTTACAAAATAGGAAACTTACCCACAAGCCAACCGCCCCAAACACCGTCACATGCCATGCGTGACAATCTAATATATCTCCAACTTCTGTTTCGCTCTACCCTTCCTTGCATGGCCCTAGCATCAACAAATCATAGCCACATCGACAAACACAGCCAGAGCGTCTCAAGCCGTCCTGGATCCCCGCCATTCCTCTTCACTACGCCCCTATCTCTGCTCCACCCCCGTCTCTTGTCCTTCCAATATCAATTCCTTGTACATCAAAAGTCGCACTTTGCCGCCCAACATTGCCTTCCATGCCGGGTCCTCCCCAATCACTCGCATGCCGCATTTCCGGTAGAGCTCCACCGCGGGCGCATTGTCCTTGAACACGTGCAGAGCCAGCCGCGGCTGCCCCCATCGACGCGCCTGTGCTTCCGCCGCAGCCATCAGCACCTGCGCCACGCCGCGGCGGCGCTGGCTGGAGCGCACGCACATGGAGCTTATGTAGACGTACTCTCCAAGCGGGTTGCGTGGCAGTGCCCGAAGGACCTCTCGCTCACACATAAGCGACACCTCGACCGACCCGACCAGTTGCGCAGCTCCGCTACAACTGGAAGCACTGCTATCTTCATGATAGCTGTGGCTGCTTGAACTACTGCTGCGAGTGATGCTCAGGCCGCTGTCATCGACGCCGCTGCTGGCGATAGCGGTATTAACAACGGTAGCAGCAGCAGCAGCAGCCGTGTGGGGCTGCGGCCGCCCCGGCAGCAGCGACTCCTCCGCCACAAGCAGCTGAAAGCGGCCAGGGTCGCTATATTTGGTCTTTTGCCGCAGCGCGTCGACCACCTCAGCACGGAAGTTGGTATAGATCAGCTGGTTCAAGAAGGGCACGGGGTTTGTGATGTGAAAGCTTTCCGTCTGGACCTCGACAACGGCTGCATAGTCCCTGTTGTCGTAAGGGCGTATGCGCCACTGCGTACCACATGAGGAGGTGAAGATCGCATCAGCGGTGGGAGTTTGTTCTTTGTGCTCATCCAATAAAGAAGGCTGGTCGAATATCGGTCCGCTGGCAGACGCAGCGGGAGATGTGCCAACGTCCGTAGAGGTGGCGCAGAATGCCGCTACAGGACGCGCGGAATCTTGACTGAACCGCCAAGCTGTACCCTCCTTGTGCCGGTCAATATGTTCTTGAAAGGCGTGCCGCCACAGCCCAAAGTCCAAGCCTTTTGCATGGACATCTAATACTTGACTATGAGCAGAAGGTCGGTGTATTGCTAAACGTGATGTGCAACGAGAATGTGATGACAGACATCGCGCTTGCATTTATTACTACGCTTATTTGAATGAACTGTTTTAGGTTCACAGTTCGCTGCTAGGCTAGATGTGTAAGGATTACAAGCCTAATGAGAAGCTGTTTACTGTACATCATATGCCTTACGCAAAATGCAGTTGTGCCCCTTGCCCAACGTCCCTCTAAACAGAGATCAGCCGTACCTGTCGTATACCTGGTTGCGGGAGACAACCTGCCTGTCCTCCACCCAATTCGGTCCAGTTAGGCGACGCCACATTCCACAATGGTCCTTCGCGCCACAAGGCTGGCAGTGGCCGGCAGCTCCCGGAGCACTCAAGGAGTCCGTGTTGCTCATTCCTCTAATGGGAAATCCATCAGGTGCTATTATATTATGTCGTCTTGCGAGTTGATCAAGGGATGCAGATTTGTTAAAGATGCTGTAGACGCTCGGGGTCAGCGAAGATAGCGATCCTTGCTTGACGAGTACCGCACGTATTGGCCCTGGAACGCTCAGGTCCCGTAAGGTGACGCCTGTCCGCGCGGCTGCTGCGGAGACTGAAGCTCCTGAAAAGCCAAAAGGCTCAGCGGTTATTGGTGAGCAGTTTGGCCTGGTCCGCACCCAAGCTTGAATTCCTGGGCCTGGCATGGTTTGGACCGACGTTTGGAAATTGCAACCTGCCGTCGTCACCATACCATAGATGCTGTGGATGTCAGCGAATTATCGTAAAGCTGCAAACATTTTGCCGTTATGCTTGCGTCCGCAGAGGGCTTCTTCGCGGGGCTTGCGCGCCTTGGCACCACGGGCACTGTGCAGCTTAAGGCCAAGAAGGACGAGAAGAAGAGCTCAGTGAATAAGGACGGCCGCGATGACAACGTGGTGCGTGTCGTGGAAAAGTCGGGAGGGGTGGGGTCGCGCGTGCTGCTGCCGCTGCTGCTGCCGTGCTCAACCCGCCTAATCGCCGTGGCCTGCCAGGGCTCCCCATAAGATTGGCACACATGCGCCCACACAACTCAACCACCTTACCCGCTCTATGCGCGTATGCTAAGGACTAGTATGCTAATTTAGAAGCCTAGCATCCACGCCAAGTATTTTGTCCCGCACCTTTGTTAATGCTACCGATCGTGATCTGGGTTTTCAAGGCCCGCCCTAAAGACAATGACAGGATAGCGATTGCCGTCCCCGTGCAGGTCTTCGTCGCTGGCGCTACCGGCCGGACGGGCGCCCGCGTGGTTAGGTAAGACCTGGGGGAAAGGCACCTGCACGCGCCTGAGCCTCGTTGCCGCACGTGCTCCCGTTCGGAATTGGGACTGGGATCTATGTCTTCCCAGTCCGAGAAGGGCCACCTTGTTGCTGACCTTGGAAATGGACTCTCGGATCGGCTCTCACAGGGTGAAGATATAAAAGCTCATTCCCCCGCAGCTTACCCGCTCGCGTCGTGGTGTGATACACATCAGGGAAAAAACAGCAATGGGAATGGCGGTATTCAATTGTAATTCCGAAACGGCGTTCGTAGGGTCCTTGGAACCTGTTGGTTGTTGGTTGTTGGTTGAAATGTGCAGCCGAAGGTAGTTGATGCATGCCGCGCTACTGCGACTGGGATAGTGCACTATGGCAGCGTCTCGTTAACAGCTGCATGGTTAAGAGTTATCGAACAGGGGCAAACCCGGAGGAGCTTGTGGGACGGCAAACATGTGCTCAGGAACCGCCCTGCACTGCGTCTTGCACTGAAACGTACAGAAAGATATCGGGTGGGGGAGGGAAAAGGGGTATTGAGGCCCCAGTAATGGCGACCTGTGATGTCAATCGTATTGCTGCGATGGTTGGGCTGGGATAACCAGGAGTCCAGCACTCTATGCAGTGATGGCAATTTCAGCCGAAAAGAAACGGTTTCGATTTCGCGTCATGTCTTCTCCTGCTGCGCCTGCTTTCGACACTGGTCTTACGATGGGCGGCATCTGGGCATCGGCAATGGGTTTGTTTCTGTGGTCCGCAACCAGGTACCCCCCGCAAGGTTACACAGGTTACATATAGATGATAGCTAAGATTGTCCCGGGCACCTCACAGGTACCGCAGTACCACACACACCCTTCCCCCGGGGGAGACCAGTACCACGTACCAGTTTTGCAGCAGTAGTGGCCTTCACTTCATGCCGACCGTCGGACACGATGCGTCATGTCAACCTTGGGTAGTCATGTGCGCATCCTCCCAAGCCCGTTACCCGGGGGCCTCCCGTGCCCCTCATCATGGTTTTTCCCGAAACGGCGACCGAGCTTTAAATCCCCCTCATTCCCCCCACATGCACGCACCCAATACATTCCGCGCACGTTCATTCATCGGCGTTTACCTTGGATACCCGGATGCACGCGCGTGTTGCATTTCTCCTTGGCACTGGCACACTGGCACGCTGGCACTAAGTGGTTTAGTTCCCTCCGGAGGGAACGGTGGGGGCCCCTGTTGCGAAACTTTACCCCCTCCCCCGTCCAAAGTCCAAATTCCCGTGCTCATCCTTTTCCACATCCGTCTGTGATTCGTCGTCGTAGTCCATCCACCCGGCCTGTTCCGGACGTGGGGGGCCGTTTGAACCCTTGATACTGCAGGCAGATGTCCGCCGCCTACTACAGGTCTCCCCACCCACCCACTCACTCGCCCGCCCACCCTCCCGCCCAACCCCCGTTGCAGGGAGCTGCTGGAGTCAGGCTTCACGGTCCGCGCGGGGGCTCGCAACGTGGAGGCCGCCGAGTCCGCCTTGTCGGTGGCTGCCTCGTACGGCATCATCAAGGCGGACCAGGTCAAGCGCGTGACGGTGGTGCCGTTTGATGTGGGCAATGTGGAGGGCTTTGCGGCGGCTATCGGCAACGCCAACAAGGTAGGGGTCGCCGGTCGGCCCAAAGCCACCAGACCTGCTTGTCCGCATTCTCATTCCCGCATGCCCCACGTAATCCTTCTCTTTTCTCGTAACTGCGCGATGCGTGCTTTTTTTTCATATCTATTGTTATTTTTTACGGTGCCCCCTCCCTTGTTATTTTACTCTTGTGCGCTGCTGTTCTGAACCATTCGCAGGTTGTGTGTGCCGTGGGAGCACCTGAGGATCAGGCGCTCAACTTCTCCGCTCCAAAGAAGGTGGATGGCGAGGGTTCCGTCGCGCTCATCAACAAGGCTGCGGAGCTTGGTGTGACGCAGTTTGTGCTGGTGACCTCCCTGGGCACCGGCAAGCTGGGCTGGCCTGCGGGCGTGCTGAACCTTTTCGGCGGGGTGCTGCTGTGGAAGCGGGAGGCGGAGAAGGCGCTGGAGGCGAGCGGCATGGCGTACACCATCGTGCGGCCAGGTGGGCTCGCGTGCGCGGCAACATGGGCTGGTGGCTGAGGCACTGGAAAGTTGGCGGGCGGGGTGGGGTGGGGTGGGGAGGACATGAGGCGAGGACGTTCCAGCAGGAGGAAGGGGGGGGAAGAGCGTGCCGGCTTCGGAGGGGCCGCAGAGCTTCAGGTGGATGGGCGGAAGGAAAGGATAGGAATTGTGCTGACGATAATTTTAAATAACCTGCTGTGTGCTCGTAATGAATGGATGCGTTAGGAGGGCTTGACGTGCCTCGGGGGAGAAGGGGAATAAATTCAGGGACATGAAGCAGGTGGCGGCTTTAGGTCTTTCGAAAGGGCCTTTCACATCTTGAAAGACCGCGAAAGGAAGCGTGCGTCGCGGAATGTGTTGAGAAGCCCGGGTAGTGTCGTGGGATCACAGGGGGATGGAGGCAGAGCGTTGAGGCCAAGGAACTGGATGGACGTCCAGTCAGAGTGAAAGGTACTCGGCCTGAGCGTCGCACAGCGCGCATGCTGCGACCTGCAGTAGCAGTAGGTGGTGGGGATGGGGGTTGGGGGGTCATCATCGTCCAACCCGCCAACCAACCACTGCGCCCAAAATAACGTCACAAGCTACCTGACGGTGACTGCATGTTTCATTGTAGCCTCTCCCAGTCCATCCAGCTCCCGGCGGTCAACGGGGAGCGCCAGGTGTCGGGGGTCCTGACAGTCAACCAACCTGCCTGACATGAACCTTTCATTTCACACCCTTCGTATGCACCCCCCCGTGCCCCCGGGTGTACCTCCTCTCCACCTTCACCTTCACCTTCACGCTTTTTACCCTAAAAAAATCACGGTTCGAACTCCTGAATCAGAGCTGCTTTCCCTTGTTACTGGCAGGCGGCATGGAACGCCCGACGGACGACTACAAGAAGACGCACAACCTGGTGCTGAAGCCCCGTGACAGCACCTTTGGCGGCCAGGTCTCCAGGTTGCAAGTGGCGGAGCTGGTGGCGGCCACCTGCCGTAACCCGGCGGCAGCGGAGAACAAGGTGTTGGAGTTGGTAGCGGAGACGACGGCGCCGCCACGGTCGTTTGAGGAGTTGCTGGAGGAGATTCCGCAGGATATTACGCGGGTGAGTGACGGAGGGCGGATGGGTGGTGGTGGTGGTGGTGGTGGGTGGCGCGGTGTGCAGAGGTCGAGGCTGGTGTAGATGGGGGACGGACATGTGGCGGCCGCATGGTACCTTGACGCAATAGGTGTCTTCTTAGTGAGTAGGATAGCATTGTCGGTATGACAGCGCTATGATGGGCACGGGGAAAACCTGCAAAACGCGTGCTCCGTCGGTTTTGTGAACTATCGTGATCTCCCCCTCTCCTGCTCCCCTTCCCCATCCTCCTCCTCTTCGCGGTCTACCACCTCTTCCCTCAGCTCGTCCCTCAGTCCTGCTACACCTGCGGCCCCCGCCCTCCGCCCTGCTTGCATCCTCTTTGTGCTCCTCCATCCTCCGCTTCTGCGTACTCCTCTTCATCGTCGGTTGCATTTCCATAGATGGATGCATGTATTGGTGTCGTCAATGTCGAACATCACCAAATGGGAGAGGGTGTGTGTGCGCATTCCCCCGGCACACTCAGCTCCCATCGTTCTCCTCACCGTTTCGACGGATGTCGCTACGGACCTCTCGCTGCGCAGTGGGTATTATCCTAAACCTCTAAACACGCAACGCAACGCAGGAGGCCCAGCTGGCCAACAAGGAGGTGGTGGACGCGGCCCGTGCGGAGCTGGCTGCCGCTCAACTGAAGTCCTCCCAGGCAGCTGCTGCGCTCCTGGAGGCGGACAAGCGGGTTTCGGAGCTGGCTGCCCGGCTCAAGGAGGCCAAGGCCACTGTGAGAGGATGGAGGGAGCGGGGAGGAATGGGTGTGGTTGTGCGAAGGGAGGGAGGGAGGGGAAGAGTAAGGGGCAGACAGAAGGGAAGAATGGGCTTTCTCCACTAGACCAAGGCCCACAGCCTTCTAGGTTTCATCCACTCCTCCTCTCCCTTTCACACACACAGGCATGTTCCCGTATCGCGGCTCAGGTTAAATCATAAACCACACCCGCGGCTCAGATCATAAAATGCACACCTGCGGCTCAGTTTTGTAAACCTCACCTCTCCGCCCTCGTACCGCAGGAGGCCACCGTCAGGAAAGAGCTGGGTCCACTGCTGAAGCAGGTAAAGCCGCTGGAGACGCAGCTGGCGGATGCGCGCAAGAAGGCCGAGCGCGCAGCGCTGCTGGAGCAGGCCTCCAAGGTGGTCTTGGAGCGGGCCCGCAAGGCGGCGGGCGCGGGTGTGCTGCTGTCCGACAAGGAGCAGGCGGATATCGTGGAGGAGGTGAGGACCGCCGCAGCGGTTCACAGCCAGCCGGGCCCAGGCTGGGGGCGGTCCGGCGCGGCCCGAAGGGCTTTAGCTTTCTCGTGGTTCGTGAGTGGGAACCTGGGGGGGTGCATGAACGTGAAGGGGTGGGGGTGGCTCTCTTTGAAGGCCTCGTGCACAGGTTGGCTGGGCCCGCCTGGCAGTTGGGATTAACCAGATCGCGTTTGCAGATCGTGTTGTTGTGTTATTCGGAGGGGGCCAACGGTATAGCACCGAACACCTCTGGGTGTCGCGGTGGATGGCAACTAGTGGCGAGGAGTGGACAGAGCGAGGTGCCCTCTGGGGGCTGCGAGCAGCTGCGCTCGTTTTGTTGCTCTGGTGTGGGGGCGAGTACCAGCATCAAGTTTTAGACTTGCGTGCCGTTGCTTGGACTCGCTCTCCTTGTGTTGCAGATCCTCAACCCCAAGCCCACGGCGCCGGAGCCGGCTGCTGCGCCAGCGGCGGCCCAGGGCAGCGCCAAGATCTTTGGCTTCTTTGGAAAGAAGCCGGAGCCCGCTGGACCGGTGGGTTGTGAACCGATGGCGATAGTTAATTCGCTGAGGGCATGGACTAAGAGGTGCATATGAAATAACTAATTTAAGTAGCCCTTGCGGTATAAGTAAGTTCATTTTTATCTACTAAAATTTCTAAAGGTAGATTAACCAGAAATTATCGCGGTCTTGGGGCCCTTGTTAACGCGAGGTGTCTCCCCCCCCTCAAATTCCTCTGGACGGCTGTGGACGTAGACGGAAGAGGAGAAGGCGGCGGCAGCAGAGGCCGCAGCCGCCGAGGCCGCCGCCAAGGCGAAGGCCAAGGCGCCGGCGCCGACACCCCTATTTGGTGGTCTATTCGCCGCCAAGACTGTGCAAGTAGAGGAGCCCGCAGCGGCGCAGGTGGGCGCTTACTGCATATGCCCGTGAACCCCAGGAGCTCCTTACCTCATGTCATCCTTCCGCCATCCATTCCCAGCACCTCGCAATACGTGATATCACGGCGCGCGGCAAAATCCTTCGATGACGACTGTTATGCGCCGGATATCAGAAAATCCGAATACCGGAAATCCCTTGACTTGACCTGACTTGCCTTGCATCATAAACTGCTGGAATAAAACGCCTCTCCCACCTTCTCGCCACTCCGCCAATGTGGTTTTCTGATGCTGTGATGATGTTTGTGTGGCTCTTGCACCCACCCACCCACCCGCGAGGACAGGGAGAGGCGGTTGTGGAGGCCGTCGCCCCGGCTGCCGAGCCGGAAGTACCCGTCAAGGCCAAGGCGCCGGCGCCGCTGTTCAGCGGGCTGTTTGCCCCTAGACCGGCGCCGCCGCCTCCTGCCCCCGAGCCCGAGGAGGTCAGTGTTATGCTTAGAGCCCAACATAGTCGTCGTACAGCGCTCTCTGCGGTTTTTACCGCACTATGGATAGCTTAGATGTTGAATGCGGCTCAAAGAGATGCCTCATGGATGGATTAGGTCGGCGGGTGAGGTGAACCTGATCGCTTTCTGCCCCCCACCGGTCGCGGACGCTGTAGCTTAGCTATGTTCACATTTCCCGTGCCCTGCACTGCAGGCCGTTGAGGAGGTGGTGGCAGCGGCAGCGGCAGCGCCTGCCCCTGCGGCCGCGGAGGTGGTCGTTGAGGAGCCCAAGCCCCTCTTCAATGTTAGCAGCTTCTTCAGTGGCTTCGCGAAGCGTGAAGAGCAGCAACGAGAGCCAGAGCCGGAGCCAGCACCGGCGCCGGCACCGGCACCGGAACCCGCATTGGCAGTCGCTGCAGCCGCGCCGGCGCCCGTACCTGCCAAGGCCGAGGCGCCAGCACCCAAGCCCGCTGCGACTAAGCCGGCGCCACAGAAGGTGAGAAGTACCCTTTCGTTCATGCATAGAAACACAGGGGTTGCAAGCTTGGGCTAACTCTTAAGCAGTTGCTGCAGGTATGCGTAATCAAGCACATGGGCTGGGGCGCAGCGCAGACGCAGTTGCATGCAATCCCTGGCCTCTGGGTTTTGGGGTGATGACTCATAATGGGTAAAACCAGTGCGATACCTGACGATGAAGAGAAAACCAGCTAACCGGCTGCGACTGAGTACGTGTGCCCGGGATGACGCATGACAGGGCGCATCGCATCACATCACATCGCCTCCATTCCCCCGGCGAATGCCCCGGCCTTTGAGTGACTGATCCCTGCCAAGTGCGTAGCTCCGTAAACATGTCCTGTCCCGTATCTTATCCCACCATGTCGCCGCTGCTGTGATGTCACTTTGTTACATCTGCGCTGCTGCAGCCCGCTCCGGCCGCTGCTGACCCGGCCGATGAGGAGCGCCGCCGGCGGGTGGTTGAGGCCGCGAAGGCCCAGCTGGCAGCAACCATCGGAGCCCCGGAGGCTCCAAAACCAGCGCCCGCTGCGGCGCCGAAGGTCCAGGAGCCCGAGCAGGAACCTGTGAAGGCCGAGGTTGCTGCTGCTGCTGCTCCTGCTGCTGCTGAGGCACCGGCCCCAGCACCAGCACCAGTGCAAGAGGTAGGTCTGCTGGATTCTCTTGTGGAGGGTCAGGGTTGATCTGTTTTCTGATGGCTCCAGCCCTGGAGTGATATGTGGACCTGTGCTGCAAACCCGGGGGCTTCCCAGGTTTCTCTGTTTTTGTGGTGGTAGGTAATCCAGTGTTGAAGGTGCTGGTGGGATAGAAAGGGGGGGGGTTAACTCTGGCGGACGGGTGGTATTTTAGTAATGGGGTTTTACCTCGTCGTCATCTAGGATTGAACACGATATACATCACTATACAGCTTTTTGCCGACGTACGAACTGCAAGTCCAAGTCGGTTGGTATTGCCATCTGGATCCCCCCTCCTCATCCAGTCACCCGAACATGCGTGTAGAGACAGAGGGTTCAGCAGTCGCCACCAATCCAGAATGCTGCGAACCTCGGTCCATCAACTGTGACCTCAACTAGCCACATATCAGCAGCTAGCCATAAAATCTTACGCTCCCGACAATGTCGGGGTTCTAACCAGGAGCCGAACCCAGGACTTTTAAACCGCAAATTGCAGTGTCTGATGTCTCCAGACCAGACCTTTTGTAGCGTTGATGGATTTTGCCGGAATGCTGGCGGAATACCTCGTATATCCTCGTATACCTGTTCGGCTGCAACGCTCTTGCTACGTTTATATATATACACATATATATACTCCGTTAATATACATATATATACTCCGTTAATATACATATATATATACCACAAGGACCATCGTCTTGATGTCTTCAGTGTTTACCTTTCTTTCACCGCAGGCGTCCCCGGCGGTAGCGGAGGCGCCGAAACCTGCTAAGAAGGACGGCGAGTTCGACCCGGAGGATGCTGCGCAGCGGAAGGCTGAGGCTCAGGCCTGGTGAGTGCCTCCGCGCCGCACAGCACGGACAGCACGCACACCAAGGTGTCTTTCTTCTGTCGGCCTATTTGCTCTCGAGCACGCACGTGTGCGTTTGCGCCGTCCTGCAGATCTTTTGAGGTGTATTGTGTCCACATGTCATGTGATGTTGCCGCATCGCGTTACGTCCGCCCATGCCAATATGCTGGCTGGCTGGCAGGATTGCCGCATGGAAGTCTGGACGCAACGTAAGCCAGAATGGATCTGGTGCTGCGGCGGTGGCGGCGGCTACGGAGGAGGTCGTAGAGGTTGTGGAGGTCGCAGCAAACCCCATGAGCAAGTTCTTCAGCGGTTTGTTCAACTGAGCGGATGGAAACAAAGGATAATGGGCTCGTTATTGTTTGTTTCATACATCGCGATGGATAGTTGCTGTTTCGTATGTGATAAATGTTTGCCGCTACAGTGCGCAAATAGCTGTAGCAGTTGCACAAAGCAAAACCTCATGTCGTAGATCGGATTAACATCTGTAAGATCGCGCTAAGATTATATTCGGATTAAACGGAGTTTTTGATGAGCGTAAGAGGCGAAGGTCGTCGTTGTCCTTTCGTTGTCCTTCCTGGAAACCGGGGATTGGGGAGCTGCACGCTAAGGTATGCCTGGATTGGAATGAGAGAGTGTCATTTTTGCCTGAGTGGGGAATATGCTGTGCCTTGCGAGGACTTAAGAGTCGCGCTCAGAGTTGGAGATGCCCTTGAGTTGTGACCGTGGTTTCTTGTTGGGTTATGGCGGAATGCAAGGACAGTTCTGGAGGGTCTTTATTAGCATTGGCCCAGCGATTTTTGACCACTGTTTCGCTGTTTTTGCCTGCAGCTTTTACCCCTCAGCGATGATGGTTGCAGCTTACCGGTCTGGTTGAATGCGCTTACTGAGGTTCGTCTAGCTGCCGCTGGACATTGCTGGGGGGAATTTTGTTGTTTGCCATTTTGACTACCTTTGACAAGAAGCCTTCGGGCAGCGGGCAGGATTATTGGAGCTCGTTGTCATGATCATATGACTAATTATACCTTCTACTTGGGAGCGAGTGTGAGTGCGACCGCTGGTCTGTAACTTACGCGCCTGCATAGCTATCAAGAATCTTACACACTTGGCCGCAGTCCACGCACTCCTTGCAGTCGACCTGGCCCAGCATTCGAGGAATTGTTCCTGCTTTACCTTTCTTCAACATTCCTAAAGCGTGGAAGAGGGCCACTATGCTTGTAGGTGTCACCCAACAAGGCCCACAGCGATATGTAAAAGCCGGCGCAGCTGGCTGGCCTTAACGGCAAACACTGTCGAACATGCATGGGCATGCAATCGACTCTGCCGCCCACCCCGCCTCCACCAAGAAGACACCGCATACCCACCAAAAAAAGCCTGCTACCAGCTCCGGCATAGGGTGTCGCCCGGGCACCCGCCAAAAAATCCCAAATTTTATCCGTCCATGCTGCACCTGCACGCCGCAGCCGCCCTGACTATGATTCGCCAGGCTCCCTGGAACTGCCCCCTCCGCCACCCACCACTGCCGCAGCACCCGCGCCTGATGCATCCCCCGTGCCAATCCCAGCGCGCCCGCTAAGCGAGTGACCCAGCGCGTTGGTCCCATCACCATCATCCGCTACTCCGCTGCTGCCTCCACTGCTACTACTTGTGCTCAGGAAGCCGCTGCTGTCCACATCAGCCGGCGCAGCGACGGCGCTCGCTGCGGTCACGGACGTCGCCCGCGGGCCGCCCAGCCCCGACGGCGGCAGCAGCACTGCACCGGTGGCATCGCATACAGGGCAGGGTGTGGCGCCGGTGCCGCTGCAGGTGCGGCAGGTGACGCCGCCCACCAATGCACCCGCGGGGTCGGTCACCTCGCTCATTTGCAGCCACCCGGCCGCCCACAGGTCCCGGTCCTTCAGATTGCTCGCATTGATCTGCGGGGCAGTGGCCCATGGGTTGCAGGAGGAGGAGGTGAAACCGGACATGGTGGGCGAGGCAGTGAAGCTCTGGCTGCTAAGACACGACCCAAAAGAAACGGCTGAAGGTCTCCAGTCCCCCCGGCTTCAGAGGGACGTAACTCCGTACCTCCGGACGTCTGCCGGAAATCCCTTTTTGCACCACGTAAACAACGGCGTTGCCCCTCCATTTCCAGGCCACAGGCAACAGAGGCTTGCCCTTGACCGCCTTGCTGCATCCGCCGATCGGTACTTTTCTGAAGTCGTGGTATAACACGTCGTGCTCATTGGTGCAGCCGGCCCGCGCATGCATGAAGGAGGTCGCTCCTAGCCGGCTGCGACAGTCACGCATCGCTATGTCTAAGGTGGATTCCTCTTATATGCTCTGTGCTACTCTGGCCCTGTGGTGCTAGCAGCTTTGTGGAGTGGAATCTTTTTTAAAATCCCGCGGGCCAGAGGGCCCTCATGCCTTCGCGAGTCGAGTCGCCACTCTCACCCATAGCTGCGTGGCGGGGTCACAGCTGGCCTGCATCTGCACGAACACCACGCCGGATGCTCCCTTACGACACTGCGAACGAAATATGGGCGGCAGCACCACCAGCAGCGGCGGATACGGGAATGTAGCTTCTGTGAAAAAGGGTTGAAAGGTGTGTGGTCGGCGGCACCACATGTGCAGTACACCGAAGGGAATCCACACCGCACCTGAATTACTCGAAAATGTCTCCAACCCATGGTCTCCTGCATAGCTGTCCAATTGGAGCCTGCAGAACCTCAAAATGCTGCAGGTTAAGGGCCCCAGGGCGCGTGTTGGCGGGACCACAGGTCCCTCTCCAATACGGCAGCAGATAAGCATTGTGTTGGACTTAAAGGCACGCAGCCCTGTCCGGAAACCCACCTACAACTCGTGTTATATCGACTCTGTTCTTCTTATTGTAACCAGCTACACGCACAAGTAGCATCGTGCTATCGGTGAGAGTCAAGGCCTTCCAATGAAATCCGCAGTATTAGCTTTACATACCCCGCGATAGCCTCCCCCGGCCTCCACAAACGGTGCAAGTGCATTTCCCGGTTCCGCCACAATGCGAGCAGCGTTGTGGAATTAGTTCCGGTTCTGGTTCCACGCACTGTCGCCGTATGAACTGGAACGAAGAGCGACAGGTTGTGGAGGGCTCCCTGTCCGAAAGCTTTCGTGAAGGCGTAAGAGCGGGCGACCAAACTGGCCTTGCGGCCTTAGGCTTCAGGCAGCTGTCTGCTCCAGATATTGATTTACGATGATAACAATCGCGATGTAGCTTACAGACGCGGCTATTCTGGTGCAAGGCCCAAGTTGTCATGGTTCTCTAGGGTTTGCTATTTCAGCCAACTATACATTATCAAATTTATGTAAGTGTAGCATCTTCACTGCTGCCTTCTAACCCTTAAGTATATTAGCGCTGATCGCGCGACATTATCTTTAACCGAGCTTTAGGCAGCAGCAATGGCCAGATGCTTATTATAGCCACAAGTCCAATTTGACAATGCCCCCAAGATTGCCTAGCTACAAGTTCCCGGTCAGTTTTACGCAGGATGTCCAAGTGTACGATATTATAACGGACTAATAACCGATAACGCGCCATTTAGCCCAGCGCCCAGTCCCCAATGGTCACTGCCTCAAGCGTACGTCCTACGGCATCCGTAAGTTTTACCAAGATCCTCGTCACGAATGAATGGATGAATGAACAAGCGAACGAACGGACGAATCACTGGAGCTATTTCGGACAATGCGCACAATTATTTCACCACAAAATCTCCTCCCTTCTTGTTTTGTGTTGCACTAATAGCTTACAGTGCTGCAGGAGTACGTGGGCTGGCACAGGGATTGCTCCCTGCGCCAGACCATTTATTTATTGGGTCCTCGGCGAGCGTAGGGACGAAGCCGAGGTAGCAGGCGAGGGAAGGGGCATCGCCAAGCGCGTGACGCAAGGGAGCTCAGTGCAGGCAAAGCAATGCCAAAGAAGCAACGTAGTGCAGGGCATGGCAAAGTCAAGCCGATACGGCTTAGGTGCTCAGGGTGGAAGAGCAGCCGGGGGAAACCAAAGTTAGAGCGAGCTGGTGTGTGGTAAGGCAAAGGGCATTTGACCTGGGGACCCCGGTTTGCGTGGATACCTTTGCTCCGGGCGCTGGCGGACTGGCTCCAACCTTGGTTATTGTGCCCCAAAATCTCATGTACTATGACACCATCATATTGGCAAGCTGTTTCCCGGCTTTGGGTGTTTTGATTCTTCGGTTCTTCTGATGCGGATATGTTCAGAGCAGACGCGTTCATGACATCTGGCCGAACCAACTTTCATATACTACCGATCTGAATCTAAAGCGTTACAGGTAAACTTAACTGGATTCATAAAGATTAATACGCTGACTTCGCTTGCCGCGCATCGGCTTGCCGTCGTTATTTCTCCCGTCACAAGGCAGAGCTGCTGCCGCAAAATACCTCCCATAACGTGGCTAAAGCCTTGGCCTGTCAATTTTTCCATTCTTTGCAATGGTTATATTAAACGAATTTTTTGAATTTCTGGCTTCACAAAAATCCCCTCCACAGGTGAAGCGACACTCGCGAATGTCTGCCCAACTTCCGCAACCGAAACCAGATTTGACCGCGCAAGCGTTGACCGCATGACAAGAAAACAGTTGACCGACAGTCATGCAAGACTCGCAATTTTATTGTTCTTGCTAGGCACATTTTACTATCGCTAGATAAGCCCTTGCCTGAATATAATTGGCTAGCGAGGCCATGCTGAAAGTGCAAATGGGCAGGACTGGAAGCGGCTGGCTGGCATAAAATGTGAGAGCAAAATCTTTTGCATTCGTTAAATTAATTTAAGGAATCTACTGCAGCCTTAAGGCGCTTACCTGTTCAGGCGAGTTTAGACTCGGGTGTACCCACAAAAGCCAGCCTTTACTTTTTTGCCCCAGCCTGGGCGCTGACAAGAATCGCATGGACAGAATGGTATCTCCCTCGAACAAACACCGTCTGGCTTTCTGCTAATTGTCAGTCATGACGCCAGGCCATCAGCAGCAGCAGCAGCAGCAGCAGCAGCAGCCGCACACCCGGGAACGCCCGGCGACCTCGAGCCTGTCCTTAAATGCCCTGTTGGAACGATACAAAAATGCCATGGCTCATCACGGCAACCGCGCGCCACCAAGTCCCCTGGGATTATCCTCCGTCTCTGCGGCCGCTTCCGCCAGTCCCCAGCTCTCCCCACGCGTTGCCATCCTGTCACCGACAGCTCGCGTTGCAACCAACTCCACGATCCCAAGCCCCAGGAGCCCCAGGGGCCATGCCGCGAGTCCACGAGGGGCTCTGCCGAGCCGCGCCTCCGGCCGCCCCACGCCATCCCCCAACCTCGCCGCCATCACCGCAGCAAGAGGCTCCTCCGCCGCAGCAACCTCATCCTCTACACCAAGGTCCATCTCGTCGGCTCTCAAAGTTACCCTCGGATCGCCTCACCCCGGCCGTGCATCGGGCCGCGGCAGCGGAGGCGGAGCAGCTGCCGCCGGTGCGGCGCAACCTCAGCGCGCAGCCGCCTGCAGCGGCTTGCCTTCCCCCGTCATCCCATCCCCTCTCGCCGTTGCATCCTGCCCCGCCAGCCCCATCACAGACGTGCTGGTTCAGGAATTCGCGCGTGCACAATCAACCACCACCGTTTTAGAGCTGATGAAGGAGGTTCGCAAGCTTGCTCATGAATGCGGCGGTGAGTCCCTGCTGCTATTGTTCTACACTGCAGCGCTCAGCGCGCTGGCGAGGTGCCTGGCGGCGCCGACAGCAGCCGCCGCGGGCACTCTGGGCGGTGGCAGTGGCGGCGGCGCCGGCGCCGGCAGCGGAAGCTGCGGCAGCGGTGGTGCCGGTGCTGGTGCTGGTGCTGGTGCTGGTGCTGGTGCTGGTGCTGGTGCTGGTGCCGGTAGCGCACCCCAGGGGAAAGAGCTCCATGACTTGCAGGTACAGCACGTAGACCTGGACCTAGAGGGCGGCAGTGCGGGGTGAGGTGCGGTGCGGGGTGCGGTGCGGTGCGGGGTGAGGTGCGGTGCGGGGGTGCGGTGCGGTGCGGGGTGCGGTGCGGTGCGGGGTGCGGTGCGGTGCGGGGTGCGGTGCGGTGCGGGGTGCGGTGCGGTGCGGGGTGCGGTGCGGTGCGGGGTGAGGTGCGGTGCGGGGTGCGGTGCGGTGCGGGGTGAGGTGCGGTGCGGGGTGCGGTGCGGTGAGGGGTGAGGTGCGGTGCGTCCTCCGGGATAGTGGGCTTCGCAACTGTTGTGCCCGCCGAACTGTTCTTCAGCTTGGTGAAGGCGGAGGATTTGCCGGCTATCTAACGTTGTGCGAAATACATACATACATACACTGCTACGGACTGCTTGTCGCAATGCATTCTGGTCCCCGCCATGTTGGCCCCTGGTGGCGGCCCTCCTTTAGCCCCGTACCCTCCTACCCCACCGGCTTTTTCCCACCGGCTTTTTGCCATCCGCCAGTTGATGGTGTCGGACGTGCTGATTGAGGTGCACAGCCGGCGCTCGCTCATGTCCCACAAGAAGACTAGTTCCATCCTGGCGAGCCTGCTGGTGGTGCTACCGGCGCTGGGCTGGCCGGTGAAGAACTCACGTGTCGTTTCCGACATCGCGGCTCGCCTGACACCCACGGGTATTGCCGCAAGCAAGCTGGCGCCTGCGCCGCTGGGGAAGGTCTGCAGCGCTTTCCGCACGTTGGCGTGCCTGTCGAGGGCCGCCTCAGCGCACGGTCAGCCGTTTCTCGGCGAGGTGCTGCATGAGGCGGTGCTGTACTTGCAGACCGAGGTGCTCCACGGGGAGGATCTGGCCAAGAGGGTAGATCAGGCGGACATGGCGGCGCTGGCGGTGATGGCGCAAATGATTTTGCTGTACGACATGGCGGCGCCGCCGCAGCTGGTCAGCTTGGTCATGCGGCGAGTGGACCGGCTGGTAGGGGCGGCGCTTCCGTACACGCCGGGGTAAGGAGCGCGAACTGTCTTCGGGGCGGGAATTGTGGGCAGGGGAATCTTACGTCATGTTCATTGCACGGACCAGGACAGGACAGGACAGGACAGGACAGGACAGTTGCATGGGCAGGGTGTTGAGGAGAAGTCTGCTTGACTGCCCGATGGGGGTGGGGAAGTGGTCTTTGCAGCTTGCAGGCATGCAGGGCGCAGTGCGACCTGCCGGCATAGGTCGGCTTGCTGGTGGGCTGCGCCGCGGAAGGGCGGGTCGGCTCGATGTCGCAGCCCGTGTTGAATCAATGCCACATGCGTCTCACTTCTCATGTAGCAGCATCAATCCAAGCGGTTGCCGGATGGATGTCCGGCTCCGCGTACATCCAAGCCATGCTGAGCCCCGCTCGTTTCCCACTTGCCGTCCTGCCATGCCTCACTGCCCCTAGCTCCTCCCCCATCCGTGGCATGGCGGAGACACCGTGCGTTCTGACTGCTTTATCTCCGCTACCCGTCCCCCCTCGCCTCGCCTCGCTGCACCCTTCCGATCGCCATGGCTCATACACGGCCACCCGCCCGCGGTCGTAGGGAGGTTGATGACGGCCTAAACAGTCCGGTTGGTGCGTCAGACAGCCCCAAAGGCCCTCGGGAATATGTACCCAGTCCCCTCGGTCGGGGCGGCTGGGGCTCCTCCCCCCGCACCTGCTTCATCCCTCCTGCTGTCTCTGCCGCCTCCGGGAGCGCAGCCGGGTCCGGATTGGGCTCTCCAATGCCGTTGAAGGGTGCGGCGGCGGTGGAGGCGCCTGGCGCCGATCTGGACGTGCCCGCCCTGGCTCGTGTCCTGGTGGCTTGGTGCCGCACGAAACCCGGCCGGCCGGCTCCTGCGGCGTCCTGGCTGAGGCGCCATGCGGGGCTGGTGCTGCGGACGCAGCACGCCATAACAGCCGCCACACGTCTGGGCGAGCTGTATGAAGAGTTGAATCGCGTGGATCAGCAGTTAGAGACACTGCTATGGGAGCAGCAGCGATCACAGCAGCGAGCGAACAGGCAGCCGCATGTCGCGGGGTCGCCATCTGAAATATACGGGGGACCGTTTATAGCAACTGGCAGTAGCGGTAGCATATGGGCGGGCGCTGGCGTCGGCGTCGGCGTCGCCGGGGACGGGGACGGCTACAGCCAGACCTGGGCAGCCGCCAACGATGGCACAACAGCTGGTTGCGTGATGCGGCAAGGTGCCTGGACGCCGATGGAGGCGCGTGCTGTGCTGCAAGGCATGGGGCCGGGGGCGGCACAAGCAGTCACGGCCATTCTCAGGGCCGCTGCCGCCGCCAATACCGAGTACACGGCTGTGAAGCAGCAGCTGGAGGCTCTAGGGGCGGTTGGGGAGCTCGCCATGCAGCAACAACAGCAGCAACAACAACAGCAACAACAGCCGCACCAGCAAGAGCAGCAGGAGCAACAGCCGCACCAGCAACAGCAATACCAACAACAGCAGCAGCAACACCAACAGCAGCAGCAGCAGCAGCAGGAGCTACAACTTCTGGACAACAGCGAGCTGTTGGAGCTGTTGGTGGTTCTGGGGGCGCGCCTGGGCAAGGAGGCGGGAGCTAGGCAAGGCAGCTTGGTGGAGGCTGTGTTGGCGGCCCGAATGGATGGCTTGGAAGCCCGCCAGGTCTTGCAGGTGCGTGCAGCGCCATCTTGCAGGCATGTGCGGCAGAGCTGCAGTTGTGTGCATGTGTGCGTATGTGTGCAGTGTTCGCTCGTATGGTGCGCGCGTATTTGCTTAGGCGCAACACACACACACACACGCAGGAGGAGAGCGGAGCTAGCGGACCTGCGGCTCTCCGCTGCTTAGGAGGGGGCAGAGGGCCCCGTCTGCAGGAGAGAGAGAGCTTAGGCGGTCTTTCCGTTGGGGCTGGGCAGCAGCCCCTGTGGCCAGTGTCAGGCCCCGTCAGATACTTGTAACCTTCACACGCAAACTGGCTTCACACACAAGCGCTAGACGCCAGGCCTCCCGAATGCTGCCCGCTCACCGCAGGGTCTGGCCGCCCTGGCCGCTATGGGACACACACCCACGCGGCCCTTTGCCACCGCCGCGCTGCGCCGGCTGCAGCCAAGTCTGCACCTCCTTGGCCCCCGTGACGCTTGGCTCCAGCCACCACCTCTAACACCACCAGCACCATCATCACCTCTACCAGATCATCTCCAAGGACAGCAGCACCGACCCCCACCGAATGGGGATGCCCACATGTCGCCAACGGACCGGCGCACTGAAGCAAAGACAGCACCCAACAAAGCGGCAGCAGGCGCGTCCAGCGGCGGCAGCAGTGGCGAGGGCGAGTTCCCCTCCCCCTCGCTTGTTGGGCCGGATGCTGTGCTCGCCATGCTGTCCCAATCCATGGTGGGGAACGGCGGTCTGCCCACAGTGCCCACAGACCTGGTGTGTGAGCTCATCGCGATGTCGGAGCAGCTGAAGGCGAGGTTCCCGCCGGGGCACGTAGCGGCGCTGCTGGAGGATGTGGAGCGGAGGGTGCTGGGGTCGCTGCCGCCGGCGAAGCGCCGGGGGCTGTCTCCCAGGGCACAACAGATGCGGCGGGAGGTGCGGTGGGCGCTTGAGCGGAAGTGGCTGCTATAGCTGCTGCTGCTGCTGTGGGTGCTGCTCGCCTAGGAGCGAGGTCCTTTTCTGCTCATGGTCTGATGGCGGGCTAAGGCTGTGCATATATATATATATATATATATATATATATATATATATATATATATATATACACACACACACACGCACACGCACACGCGGAAGTGAAACTGCCTTTTAACTGCCTGTTAGATGGACCTGAGCAGCTGCATGGAGAGCTTCCGTCCGTCGCCTTTTTCTTTTCCCTTTTTTATTTCATTTCATTTCCTGGAGGAGTTGGGCGGAAGAAAGGAGCGGGAGGGGTGCGTGGTGGTCCCATGGATGGATCACTACGGGGAGCCGGGTTGAGGAAAGACGGGGGTTGGTTGGGAGAAAACAACACTGATAGGAGCAACAGAGTATTGTGCATGTCCGTATGTGTGGTTGCCTAACCTGGCAATCCTCATCAAAAGGTGAAGAGTGCAACCTCATGATGCATGCACAGCCCCTGTCCAGCCCCTTACCATGTATGTATGTCGTTACAGGGTGGTTAAGCCATGTATGTATGTATGTATTTATGTAGGTGCGCCCCACGGCGGGCTTCACTAGGCCAGGACAAGGTGTCAATGTCGGCGCCGCAAATGTCGACGCCATGACGACGCTGCAGCTGCGAGAAAAGGTCTTGTTGCCGCTGCTGCGTTCACTTCATCGCTGTGATCGGGAAGACCTCTACATTCTGGCAGTAGCGGAATGGTCGTTTGAGGGCTTTAAGGGCCTGGACGAGCGTACGGCAGTGCTGCTGCTCTCTGCATACGCGCTGGGCCAGGCTGCCTGGGACACCACCCAGTTGCTGCTGCAGGTCGGTGTAGAGGTGCATGGGTGGGGGTTCGGACTGCTGAGGTTTACCTGATTGCGCAAGTCTGCCTCCATCATATCGAACGTACTTCGTTGTCCGCATGTAAAGCAAGATAGGTGCAGCTCTGGGACAAGATACGCTCTGTGATGGCTGTGGCGGTGAACAAATGCATCGACTCCTGTTCCTTTCAGTGAAGCGAAGCGAAGCCCCGCCACACACACGCCGAGGCGGCCATGTGGATGCCCCACGCGTACTTTACCCCTCCCCCCCCCCAATTCCGGCATCATGCAAAAGCCTACGAGGCTGCCAGGCACCCATCCATCCGGATTTTACCGCAAGAACGAAAATATACCCCATAAAAAATTTTGAGCAAGCCTTAACACCGCCTATCCAAAATTTCCGCATGTGCCTGTGCATGCGTGTGCATGCAACCCTAACATCATCTTTCTTCACCCGCCCCATATGTACGGCACGATGCACAGGTGGTCCAAGACCTCATTGAGAAGGCCTTACTCATGCGAAGTGAATGTCCCATCAAGCTGTCGGCAGTGATCCTGGCGGCCAGCCGGGCTTTGCGGGCCATGGCCGACAAGCTGCAGCGCAAGAAGGGCACCCCCGTCTTGGTGCGTGCATATCCTAGGATGGGCTTGTGTGCCCGCCTCGCCTGAACTGCCCACCTAGGTTCATGTAATATAGTCGTTCCGAGGAGTTGTTGTTCGCCTAAGAGACTGTTGCCACCCGCCGCCATTGTGCCCCGCCCACTCGCACCACAACAGGACGTGACCGACCCACGGGTCGCACTGCTGGTGATGCCGGCCGTGGACCGCCTGTTACAGCTCGAACCCTCCGCACAGCACATCGCCCGTGCTGCCCAGGGCCTCTTCGTGGAGCTGGAATGGCGCGGAGGACCGCATGCACGGTACAAGCAGCTGGCCACTGCGTCGTCGCGGACGCAGATACCCGCAACCCCCGCAGTCCCCCCCGATGGCGTTACTGCTGCTGCTGCTGCTGCTGCTGCTGGGAATGATGCCGTTGCTGGGAATGGCGCTACTAATGCTGACGCTGATGCCTTTGGGGATATATCTACAGCGCAATCCGGCCAGCAAGCTGTCCGTAAAAGAACAAAGGAGGGTTTCAGCCAGGTCTTCTCTTGGGAGATACAGTCCCTCAAGAATGGATCGAATTCATCAAAGGTGCACGGTGATGACGGCTTGAATCAACGCCCACACTCACAGCGCCAGCTTCATTTGGGGCAACAGCAGCAGCAGCAGCAGCAACAGCAACAGCAACAGCAGCTGCAACAGCAGCAGCAGGAGCAGGTAACGGCTCCCGAGGCGCTGGCGCTGCTGGTGTGCATGCTGGAGGCGGCTGACCGCAGCCTGGAGACCTGCAACTTACGGAGCTACGGATACCTGCTGGCCGCCTGCACCTCCATCCGCTACCGGCCGCCGAACAAATGGCTGGTGCGTCTGTTGTCCGCCTCGACGGAGGCTCTGCAGGGTGGCAGCAAGGCTCATACGGGAGGAGGAGGAGGAGGAGAGGGAGGAGGTGCAGGTGGAGGAGGAGGTGGAGGAGGAGGAGCAGGAAGAGGAGATGAGGAGGAAGCTGAGTATGAGCGTGTATTTGGCGGTGATGGAAGTGGTGATGGTAGCGCACACGTGCTCACTAATTTGCTGGAGTATCTGACTGGGCTTGGGCCCTGTACGCTGGTTGACGGTAGCCGAATGGGGGACTATGCGGCGGCGCCCACATGGACCGACAGCACCGCGGCGGCGGTCGCAGAGGCCTTACAAGTGTTTCACTCAACGTCCTCGGCGGCGTTGTCAGCGGAGATACGATGGATCGATCACAGCCATCTTGAGGCCGGGGAATATGAGGCGACCCACGGGTCATTGCTGGCCCTGCTGGCGGCCAAGTTGCTGGAGGAGCCGTGGCTGACGGTACGTGCGTGCGGTACGGTGCGGTACTGTATTGTACGGTATGTTGCGCAAGGGTTCGCCCCGCAGCCTATGCTCTGTTTCGGCATTTCTATGCGGAAATTAGGACATTTATATGCCCCCGGGCTCTCCCGCAAAGTTTATATGGCTGCGAGACGATGGCCTATATCCTGACGGTTTTGCCGGGTCGAACCAGGACGAATTGAAGCCCACCCGCCAGATCAAAAAAAACCCTAAGTACACAAGTCACTCCGATACTTCCACTCCTACTGCTGATTGCTTGCTTGCTTGCGTCGCTCGCTCCAGGCCTTGTCAAGGAAACCAGACGCCTTGGCGCTTGCAGTCCGCCGGCTGTGGGAGCTGGGCCTACAGCCGCAGCGCGAATGGCTAGCCAGATACACGCAACTGCTGCAGTGCAGCCTGCTGGGCTTGATGTCACTGGAGGGCCTGGCCCAGGTGGCCACGGGCCTGGCGCTCATGCGCGCGATGCCGTCACAACCGGCCGCAGCTAGCGTGGCTAAGCTCCTGGATGCGCTGCTTCTGGAAACCAGCAGAAAGTTGATATGCTTGGGGGTGAGCCAGTCCCACGACGACTGTGGCGACGGCGGAGGTGGCGGAGGCGGCGGAGGTGGCGGAGGCGGCGGAGGCGCCGGCGAGCCGCCCGCAGGGGATGTGTGGTTGGCGGTGGTGGGCGTGTACATACGAGTTCGCGGCCTCGACACTGCCCCCACGGCGCTGCTCTGCGAGTTGCTGAGGACGTGCGCACTGCTGGGGGTCCTGTTCCCAAAGGAGTGCCTGGAGGCGCTGGGGGGCACGCTGCGGCGCCGGTGCAAGGAGCTGTGGGTGGTGCCAGCGCCAGCACCAGCGCCAGTCCCGGCAGCTGGGGCCCATCCATTCTGGCAGCAGCAGCAGCTCCAGCAGCAGCTGCAGCTGCAGCAGCCACCGCCGCGGGAATCTCCGCCGGTACCCCCCCGGGTGGGTTGATGCTGTTGG